GTTAAGAAGGTTGAGGTCATACTAGACCATGTGAACAGGAGGGCTGAGAGGACCACTGTCCTGCCACTGACAGGCAGGACACAGGAACTTGCACACCTCAGGTCAAAGCAGGGGAAGAGGGGAATGAGGACTTGGTCATCCTAGAGAAGACCAGAATGAACCAGTTTGGTTAATCCAGCAAATGAAGGCAGAGTGAGTGATGTATGTCAGTTAGTTGGGAAGGGAGACAAATAAACACCATGCAGGGAAACAGAGCTGTTTAAGCTGAAGGATATTGTTGGCAGAAGAACAAATGAATATAAATTGGCTGAGAATAAATTGAAGCTAGAAATTAGTTGCTAACCAGCAGAGGAGTGAGTTCCTAGAAGAGCCTTCCACTGGGAGCAGATCACCAATGTACTTAGAAGGCAAAGCTTGCTCCGTTCATGACTGGGATTATGTGTAGTGAGGCTCACCCCTTCAGGGGATGGGTCTGATGACCAAGAACCCTCCTTCTATTTCTAACTGAATGTGGGCTTAAGGACAAATGTACATCCCCTGTGGAAAACACATAAAAGAGTGTTTCCTGCAGGACTTACAGGTCAGGGACAGCTAATCCCCTTCCAAACCAGCCTCAGGGCTATCCAGTCTGTTCCTGCCAGACACAATCTATGCATGTTTCCTCTCTGGAGCCCATGGGCTCTATGACTCCCTCATGCAGCTGGGAGATGAGCTGTGTTTAGCAGCCATTCCATTGCAGTGCCTCTGCTGTTCATGCTTCCTCTCCTATGCAGCAAATGCTGTGGCTCTGCTGGTTTGAGGGACTTCCTGTAGCAGTACAGTCCAAGAGGAGGTTTATGCTACAAGATGGCTTAAATGCTACTTTTGCTTGGTGTCAGTAGTGAGATTTAGTGAGAAGTTATTTAGCATCTCCTTTTTAAATCCATAAAATACAGGGAGATAACTGTGAAAAGATAAAAGTCTGGAATTGTCATTGTACAATGGAAATTAAACCAATTTTTGGCAATGGCGATATGCCTTCCGCTGTGCCACTAACTTATCACATTATACCAATACAGCATGGTCTTTTCCCAGTTTTCTCTTACCATACACTAGGGATAGTGTGTCTAGAAAGGAGGTCAGAAGATTTTCCTGATGTTTTCTGCTTTATCCACCAAATAACACTTTGCTTTCAGATGCAATTTCAGTTGCAGGTGACAGTCATTCTTTTTCTGCTGTTCCCAATTCATTCCACTGGTATGAAGAGGCTTTCTTCCTGCTGTTTGACGACTGTGGGAGCATATTTGGCCTTTGGTTATGTATTGAATAGCTACTGGGTACCAGGCAGTCAGCTAGGATATGCTTAGATACTCCTTTCTTAAAAACTCGTGGAGGAAGGAAATGGAACGCTAAGATTATTGCAGATCCTACCTCCAGTGTCACCTCGCATCATGTGCTGCAATTTGGAGTAGCATGTACGGTGTGTGTTGATTATATGAGAACATGTAGGATTTAAAGTGTTCCCTTCTTTAATAGTATTTCTTACCATTGTAATTTAGTGTATTAGTAGTATTTCTTACCATGTAAGCATTTATGCTTCCAGAAAGCTGCAGTTTGTGCTCCTTGTTACCTCTGGTTTTTGAGCTTCTCCAACATAGATGACAGATCAACTTCAGCCTTGATTTCAATTAATTTGGTGGCTTCTACTTGTTCTCTAGAATTGAAATCCATTGCAGAGCTTCCTGCTTGAAAGCCAGGGCATTCTGAGACCAAAATCAGTATTTAGGTCAGCTCCCCCTGATCATTTTAGGGTATTTTGGAGCTGAATGATAATAGCAACATTTTTCAAGGAAAGAAAACAAGCAAGGACAGACTGAGGTTTGGTAATAAGCATTGGAGTGGCATGGAAGTGTATTCTCCAAATGACCCCTGTTTAGCAGCTTTTTGGAGCTGTGTGCAGTGGGAGATAGCTAGTAGAATTCCAGCTTTTAATGGAGGCTTTTTTTCAGGTCAGAAGTACTTAATAGTACAGAGCTGGTGCTTCAGAGCCTTATGTTAGCAAACCTGACACTGGGGAGTAATATCGTTGGCTTTCATGCGCCTATTTACTGTAATAAGGATTACCAATGTAAGTAAAACTTGCAGGTTTGCCTTTTCACACCCTGAAACTGCATCAAAATTCAATTTCACCAGGAAAAAAAAATCCTTCTGATCTAGTCCCTGGAATGTGACATTTCATGGGTGTAATAAGGTTACAAACAGATTATAAATTGAAACCCTATAAATCCTTATTGTACTGTACCAAAGCTTCTGCTTTGCATAATACTCTTATTCCTGACTGTTCTTTGTTTTACAAGCTCAGAACTATTCATTCCCTCTCATAATAGAGACCAGGGAGCCAAAAACACCGTGCAAAATCCAAAGGTAATTATTTGAGTCACAGAACCTGAATGCCAGAGTTCACAAACTTCTGAACTTCTCTAATTGCCGTTGTTTGCACAGTGAGACCTCCCTCTTCCTTTAAACTTATTGCAAATACTGCACGTTATTCAGTCATTCTGATAATGATGAAGAAATCCCGATGTAGACTTAGTTCCTGTTTCGTACTGGTGTAGTTCTGTGTGTCCATAGCAGATGACTGATCAGTTTTCAGATCGTAGCTTGAGCAGCAGAGGGTGTTTGAATCTGGCCCTATGTGGTCAGGATTAGAAATGCTGTGAATCTCCTTGCCTGAGAGCACTGGTTTCTACTGTTGGCTTCTTATTTGTGTAGATTTAATGTCTAGCCAGTGTCTTCTGCCAGAGCAGCCTTCCAGTATTTGGACATATTTATAGGTCTGCTAAAACATCACCCCTCTGCAAAACCCAAATGAGCAGTTCACCTGAGAGCTAAAGAAGTTACCCGGATCAGCAGATGGTGCCATGGGCTTGTTTCTTCTAGCTTTTACCTGAAGGGTGAGGATACTCAGAGGGGTCGACTGAGAATGAGATGGCTTTGCAGGTGAGCTCTCAGAGGCCACTTGGAGCATCAGAGAGATGAGGGAAAATGGCAAAAAGAGGGGTTTGATTGTAGAAAGAGCAGAGGGAGTAGGAAAGGAGTGACAGGATGAGAGTGCAGGGCAGATAAGTATGGAGGGATGCAGTTGTGCAGTGACCTGAGGGTGATCATGAGATGCTTGACAAGTGAGCCAGAGAGAGGAGTGATGGAGAGAGGGGAATGATAAGTCACCATCCTGGGCAAGCTTTGCCAAGGCTTGCCAGGGAGTCTGGGCTGGAGTGGGAGTAAGGAACAGACTTTTACACCCATGAGAAAGGCGAGTTTTAGAGGACGCTCATGTTGGTATAGGCTAGAGGCCTGGAGGGCAGGAGCAAGCTCATTTGCAGGGACAGAGAGAAAAAGTATCCTATGGAGAAGTTCTCTGGAAGAGCATCCATAGTGCCTGAGTGCCCACACAGCAGGAGGTAAAGGGAGGTTCTGTTATGAGCTGATGGAACCAGCCCTGAAGTTTTTGTATCAAGTGGAATTCTTGTGTCATGCATTCAGTCATTATTTCCTTCGTGTCTGTGGGGGTTTAACAAATAACTCACAGTCTGTAATGTTTACACAAGGATTTGACCAAGAATTACTCAAATGCAATGAGTTTTGTCCCATTACTTTTTTTCTGTCAGAAAAGAAGAGCGCACATTGATCTCATTGTACTTTTCTTATGCCATTAAAGCGCAGGGCATCTGTACCTTTCTGGTACAGGCGTGTGTAGTACAAATGGGGAAGAGATCTGCACTTGAAACTTAAACTCATGCAGATTACATGTTGTACGTTGTCCAGCACATCTGCTCTGTTCATACATCCCGTGCCCCATCACAACTTTTAAGAAATGGCAATAAGTTTCAGAAAAAGAGCAGTCATCTTTTATAGGCACTGCACATCTGTTTGCCATGGCGATGCCGCAGAATGCTCAACATGAGTGATTTTATATGGTTTTCTGATTGTTTTCAGGACTTGAGAAAAGATGGGGATTATCTTTTTTGTGTTCCATTATGAACTACTGAGTTTCTGTATGACTGGCTTTTTCTGTGAGCTACTTATGGAGTAGATACAGATTTCATCCCTGTGCTGTGATCAAACACAAACTCTGGAAGCATTTTGTCTACTATCTGAATGGAAATAATCGCATTTGCTGAGAAATGCAGCCATCTAGTGGCACAGCTAGCAAGCTGTGATGGGAAGTACAGCAATGGCGAAGTCTATTCTATTCCTCTCTATTCCATTCCATTCCATTTTTATTCCTTTCTGTTCCATTCTACATTTCTCCATTCCATGCCTCCATTCCATTCCAAGCCACCATCCAGCAATGCAGCAGTCAGAATGCCCCGGGACAGCATAAAAGAAAGCAGCCTCCTGTGTCCCCTGGCAGAGATGGGCCAGGGCAGCCCAAAGGCATCCGAAAGGAAGTCCTTGAGGAGCTGCTGGAGTTACTTACAGGGCCCTGAGACAGGAAGAGCAGTGGCTGGTGGAGGCTGCTGGAGGTTCTCCTCTGCAAGGCCAGCTCCTGGTGGAACCAGCTTCATAGCTCATTCGGCCAGACTATAGGAATGCCTTTTTGAGGAGAACTGCAGAGCTAACCATCCTCATCCCCCATGGAGCCAGGGGCAGTGGCCATAAGCAATGGGATGCAGAGAAGTTTCCAGGGATGCAAGAAGGCATTACTCAATGTGAATCTTGTGAATGATGCTGTGTGTCAGATTATCGAGGCTCCATTTGAGCCTGTGTCCCTGAGGCCTGATCCAAAGCTTTTTGACATCGGTAGAAACAAATTCATGCACCTTAGTGGCCTTTTCAGCGAGATCTATAATTTGAACCCAGTGATCACTTTGGAGCACAGACAATCTTCTTGCTCTTTCAGTACCGCAGGATCCCAGTTCACACCTGAGCCTCTGCTGTTGTTCGTCTGCAAAGTTACAGTAAAGCTGGTGATGACGTTACCTTTCTCTTAAGCTGTAATCTCTCTTGTACCCAAACAGCACATAAACAATGACCATATCCACGGTGAGAAGAAAGAGTTTGTGTGCCGATGGCTGGACTGTTCCCGGGAGCAGAAACCATTCAAAGCCCAGTATATGCTGGTGGTCCACATGCGGAGACATACAGGGGAAAAGCCACACAAATGCACTGTGAGTAAAGGGCGCTGAGCTCCAGGCTTGGGTGGAGGATCTGGGGCTATGCAGGGAAAAAAGCAGCACAGATGCTGCACTCCCTGATCCCTTGGCCACTGGACATTTGTTAGAGAAGTTACCTAGTCTGCTAGAAAACTTTCATGTCTGCTTCATCATCCAGCTCAGGCAGAGGACGAGATGAGATGGGATTCAAGGGATAATTGGGCCTACTTCCTCAAGTTTAAAGTGCAGAGAAGCCCTAGAAGACATTTTTACACAGGGCAGTTTGCTTAAGTATTCAAAAGCACTTTCTCCCACAGAGCTGGGCATTATTGCTGGCCACCGGTGTCCTACTGAGTTTGCAATAGATTTCTGTCTTAGACAGAAGTGCACAAGTACTGTGCTCTCCTGTAAGAGCAGATATATATAATGCTGGAAGCGTTTTTTAACTTGAGCTGTGATGGGGTTTGCCTGGGCAAAATTAAAATCCAACAAATGAAACCAGAGTTACATTGGGCAAGGTTATGGAGGCTTGGAAAGTTTCTGAACTGTTATAGGTCAGCTTTTACTGTTTCATGCATGTCCAAAGATGAAACTTAATCCAGACTTACTTCTTCTGCAGTTTGAAGGTTGTACAAAGGCCTACTCCAGACTAGAAAACTTGAAAACGCACTTGAGATCTCACACTGGAGAGAAACCGTATGTGTGTGAACATGAAGGCTGCAACAAAGCTTTCTCCAACGCATCCGACAGGGCCAAGCACCAAAACAGGACTCATTCCAATGAGGTAAGCAAGCACAGCTTCAAAAACTATCAAAACCAGTGGTGTCAAACAGATCTACAAGGTGATCACAGGAATTCGTTATGGAGGACAGGCACAGAAACCCTTGGTAACCTGAAAGGATATAGTTCTAGATGGCTTTTGCCAGCACAGTCATCCCTGTGTCCTGTGGACCTTGAGGGGCTGTGGGTCATTTTATTAAGCATGAGAGGTTTGAATGAAGGATGTAATGGGAGCACACACGTTAAGCAAGGACAGATTCTGGTGTCCCTGAACAGCTGGGATCATTTTTCCTTCTGGAGCCGAGTGCTCACCCAGAGCATGTCCCATTGGTCAGTGGAGGCACTGTCAATTCCTGAGCCGCAGCTCCCACAGCCTCTTCCAGCACCCTTCTTGGCTGCTGCCAGAAAGCTAGGGAGAAGCCTTCAGTGCTTTGACAGTATGGGTCACCCTGTTAAGTTCTAAGTTATGCTTTTTCCATCTGTCTTCTCTGGGCTATTTCCATCCTAACAGACCTCACAGAGTAGGGATGCAGTGAAGGGAATTTTATCTTTCCTCAAGAATTCCAGCTATGGCAGTCAGCCATCGCCCACACTCTCAGTATAACAACTGTTTATTACTGTGTCTTTCCTGGTAGTGCTGCCCCTTCCTATGAAGTTCCAACTTCCTGCCATGGTCCCTTCAGCATCTCTTGAGTCACAAGGGAAGCAGAGAGCGTTGCACATCTCTGACTCTACCCTGTCCCTGCAGGATGTGCTCTCAGCAGCCCAAATTAACACTGAAGCCCAGCAGCAATTCTGTGGATTGTCACCGAGGTAGAAGGAAGTTCACCAAGTGTGGTCAATAGCTGACTGAGCTTTTCGTTCACTCACTATCTTAACCACTCTGTTTGTTGCCTAGCTGATGAGTAAGATTCTCTCAAACTTCAAGACGTGACCCATACTGCTTGTGTTTTAAAATCAGGATTTCACATCTAACAGTAAGTCACCAAGAAAAGTTTCCTGCTGCGTGTCATTTCTGGTAGGTGCAGCAGCAAGGGCAGCTGAGAAATCTCCTACACCATTATTTCACAATGAAACAGACTGATAGGCAATGATGGAGTGCTATGAATACTGTGGAACGTGCAGACCCAGTTCAGCACTTCCTTAGAGTACCATTTTGGTTGTAAGTAGGCAACCTATAGACAGATTTAAAAGCAGGTGACATCTTGGTGCAGATGTGCCTTACACATGTAGGAGAGAGCTAAGTGACTCATACTGCCATAGCATCTTAGGAAAGCCTGTCTCAGTAGCTTAGCATCAACTTTAAATTCCTCATGATCAACATTTTTGCTCCTTTTTTAAGTCAGTAGGAGTTTAATGTCAGTGGAGACAGGCTCAGGCCTTAAATAGCCATGACGAAGGTACATTTGTCAAAGGCTCCATGTGTGTGCTTACACAGAGAACCCCTTTGAGGAACTTCACATGGCGGTCTCTTTTTCTGATTCTTGAGGGCTAGAATAAATAAGACTTTATAATAGTAGTTATATGGGAAAAAAATCAGTAGTAAAAGTGAATAAATGACACTTTGTTTCTGAGGCAACTAAAATGTTTAGGAAGGGCTCAACTCTTCTTTCTAATGTTCTCATAATACAAGAACAAAGTCTTTGTTAAATTACAAGACAGTAAATTTACTTTATTCTACATTGCCTAGTGAACTAGAGAAATGCACAGAAAGCAGGGTTTGTTTCTTTTTAAAGTGATTAGCTATGCAAGTAGCACTAATAGTACTAGTGTATTTATTGCTGCAACATGGAAATGCTTATGGACTGTATCCCGTGCTTTGACATTATACTGGTGATCTGAAGGAGCTGGGCAAAAAGTTCTTCTCCAGATAATCCTGCCTGAACAAATGTCCCAGATGTTTTGAAGGGGTTTGTTTGTGTCTGAATGTCAAGAAGCAGGTACTGGGTATACTAGAAGCAGGGTATCAAACTGCTGAGAGCAAAGCACAGGATAGAAGTAAGGCCATTCTTCATAGATTGCTATAGCTCTGTTGACTCTTCTGTGACTCTTCTTAAGTAAAAGCTCTGCCAGTTCATACCATGAGAGGCACTTCTCTCTGTAAACTGTGTGGCATTAATGGGTACCTTCAAAACCAAAAGGAATTAATAGGTTTGACTAGGTGCAGACATAATTTGATAGGACAAGGGTTAATGGCTTTAAACTGAAAGAGGGTAGTTATAGATTAGAGACAAGAAGTTCTTCCCTGTGAGGGTGCTGAGGCGCTGGCACAGGGTGCCCAGAGAAGCTGTGGCTGCCCTATCCCTGGTAGTGTTCAAGGCCAGGTTGGACAGGGCTTGGAGCAACCTGCTCTAGTGGAAGGTGTGGCAGGGGGTTGGAACTGGATGATCTTCAAGGTCCCTTCTAACCCAAACCATTCCATGATTCAGTCACTGTAGAGACCATAAATCAGATAACAAATCTGCTGTGAAAGTGTGTAACTGTAACACCAGCTGTGCTCCAAGGAGCTCTTCAGGAGTCCCACATGGAATTAAATCTAATATAAGTGTTTTTCCTGTCTTGGCAGAAACCATATGTTTGCAAGATACCGGGCTGCACAAAGCGCTACACAGACCCCAGTTCTCTCCGGAAACATGTGAAGACCGTGCATGGTCCAGAGGCACATGTCACCAAGAAACAGCGGGGAGATATCCACCCAAGGCCTCCGCCACCAAGAGACCCAGGCAGCCACTCCCAGACCCGGTCACCAGGCCATCAGACTCAGGGTGCAATTGGTGAGCAGAAGGACCTCAGCAACACTACCTCAAAGCGTGAAGAATGCCTCCAAGTGAAAGCGGTCAAGTCAGAAAAACCAATGGTATGCAATACACCCTGCCACTCCCTTTGTCCTTTTTCTTCTTGCAACCAGTTAATGATCTCTCTATTAAATGTTCAAGCCCATAAACTGTAGCTCACAAGGTTTGGTTTTGTGACGTTTTCTTTTTTAAGTTGTTTTTTTTTAAGCCTAATAAATAGCAAATAAAAAGATGACATCTAGTCTGTGCAATATACCGTAACTCTTCGCAACAGTTGTTTCTCTTAAAGCTCTGTCTTTAGGGATCAGCATATTAGGAGAAAATCAGTTTTCATTCTCAGAAAAGGTGCTTTTTTTTTCCACTCTGCTGTTTACAGAAGAAAGTTGGAGAATGTGAATCCTGCAGGCTCAATGCTAGAACGCAGAAATAACCAAATCTGGAAGGTTAAAATGATGATTTTGATGATGATAATTTTTGAAGAACCTGGGGAAATAACCAGATTCTGGGGGCTTGACATTGTTGGATCCTGGATCAAACCGAGGCAGGATAAATTGACTTTTCTTAAGCAGCAGGAGATCTTTAGATAACATTTGATCTCTGGTGTGGTGTTCATCTGGTACTTAATTTAACTTGACCAAGTTAATCTAATTCCAATTTAACTAATTTGAGTTGAATTACAGATCTCTGCAAGTCTTTTTCTTGGTTTACCTTAACATACTGCATTAAGACAGTGAAGCCTTGTATGCTGAAAAGACCTTACTCCATTATTTGACATCTTATCTTAAAGAAAGTTCTTCTTTCATTTGCCTGCATTCCATTTGCCATCCATACTCTCCACAAGGATTAAAAGTAGCAAAGGCAGTTATTCCATCCTCTTCCATGTCTGGGTCTGTTGCTCATCTGGACCCAACCCCTGGGGACTACAAAAATGAGCACTCCAAATTCTGCTCATTTTGTTAATCATGCTGCAATTCAAAGCAATTACTCATTGAAATATGAGTTACTGCTATGTTGTGCCTAAGGCTTATCCCAAATTGTGGAGTTTTAATCCTGAATTCAGAAAATTCCAACAGCCCAGAGTTGTTAACTCCTGCTGAAGTGTAAAGGAGATCTTCTGCTGTCTTTGGTGATAACAGCTACTTGGGTTACAAAGGAACAAAACCTATTCCCCTCTTGCTTAGCTAGGTAAATCTGTGGCATTATTGAGGCATGTTGAGCATAGGCAGCTTTAACAGGAATAACATTTGCAGGAGAGGTGTATTAATGCTGATTGCTACATAGTATTAAATATTTCTCACTGAAATATATCATCTGAAAACAATTCTGTATTTCGTGCTTTTCATTGCTTGTATGAATTAAGATATATTTTCTGTTTTTCAACTAATCCAATGTCTTTTCTGTCTAATGCTCTTAAATGTCTTGTTCTAACTTCCTAAGGACAGTGGGTAATAAGGTGAGGGCATTTTAACTTTTCTGCCGTTTTTCCTGTTGCAACATTATTTATGTCTTCATTTTAGCCTTCTGCCTGTTGTCTAATCATTCCTTCATTTAGTAATGTGCAATCCATCAAACACATTCCCAATTGTAGTGTGCTGTGAACATTTTGCAACACTTGACATGTGAAAACTCTGGCTCATATTGGTGAAGTGTCTTCAGAAATGCCTGTGTACCTTTAGATGAAACATCCATTTTTTTTCTGTATTACACATCTAGAATGTATGCTCTCCATAATGCAGTTCTTACTTCTGTAACCTACTTCACTGTGGTCTTGACAAGTGGCTACAAGAACAGGCTTCTGACCTTTATTGCTCTTCTTGCATATGTTATGACACTTGTCCAGAAGCACAAATGCTCTTCCATATAATAACTGTTACTTCTATTCTTGTCACCAGATTTGCCATGGTCAGGGTTTGTAAATGAACTTGCTCAGTGAGGCCTCATAAATTCTAAGTATCATCATTCAAGTTAGAAAGAATAAAATAGTTACTGCATCCTAATGGACTCCTCAGGGGCATATGAACCTACAACAGTGCTATGAAGCTGTGTCTTCATCCAGTGATGTTAAAAGCAAAAGCCCCCACTGCTCCCTCAGGAATTCTACCTAGCATTTGTCAGTAAACAGTGCATAAAAAAATCACAGAAAATAATAGTTTAAAATATTCAAATATATAAAAGAATACTAAAAACACACAGAAGAAACCCCAAACTTGACATACTTACGTGAAACTGTTCTTGGGAGCAAAATGGTACTGCATGCCCCATGGATCTGTGATCACACTGATACAACTTACAGTGGCATACTACATCGAGAGACTTCTCTCCCTATTGCTGCCTGTGTTGTCTATCAGTCTATCTGCCTGAGTGTTTCAGTTTATCAGAGAAGTTTTCCCATTCTTTTTTGAGAACTTTATGAAAAATAAATCAAGTCCCTGTTTCCCCACAACCAGAATTCTGCTAGAGCAGCAGGGAACACAGCATTAAGAAAGGAGAAGCTATTGCAGCGGGTTTATATTCCTGTAGATTACCAGCCTGTACTGTGTGCTTAAATTCTTAAATTTGAAGTCTTAAATTCTAATGAAATGAAGGATTTGATTCAGTAGATTATCACCACCTTTGTTCAGGGGAAGGTGCCATAAGAGGAGGTAGATGTTAGACCCTGGTGCTGCTGTTGTCACAGGATGCTCATAATATGGTACAGTAAGTTTTGCACTGGTATTTTGTCCCTGTTTTATTACATGCCAACATTTCAGGCCAACCGCTGCTCCTAACAATGAGCCTTAAGCTTGGAAAATACTTACATTCTTTAGCCACAAGTCTAATTAAAAACCCCCAAATTCCAGTGTTGTTGGAGTCTTGTTTGTTTGCTTGTTGCAACCCTAGCAGTGTAAATTAAACTCTGTAACTGAATTCTAATTTGGTTTATTGAGCTGCATCTTCAACTGGGACCAGTGCATACCCAAAGTAGAGTATCCAGGACATAAATGACATGAAGTGATAGAAGTAATTAAGGAAATAACTAGATAAATGTCTCGTGTAGGTATAATGTATAGTAGCAGCAAGATAATAAAGTGAATTTTAATCTCAAGTTTAGCAATGCCATTCACTACAGTTAAAATCACTACCTAGAAAGACTCTGAATGAATGATCACTGTTACCATTTAAGGCTAAACTTTACATTTGGTTTTCTTTGGCTCCAGTTAGACCTGCATTTGCTGCAAGTGCTCTTCTTAACTTTGCTTAATGCTCACGTGCTTTTGTTTCTTACTTCAACAGACATCTCAGCCAAGCCCTGGTGGTCAGTCTACATGCAGCAGCGAACAGTCCCCCATCAGCAACTATTCCAACAATGGGATCGAGCTTACTCTGACCGGTGGTGGTAGTGTAGGAGACCTCAGTGTCATCGATGAAACCCCAATCATGGACTCTACCATTTCCACAGCCACCACAGCACTTGGCTTACAGGCCAGGAGGAATATGACAGGGACCAAATGGATGGAGCAAGTGAAATTAGAAAGGTTGAAACAAGTTAATGGAATGCTTCCAAGACTGAACCCCCTTCCACCTTCCAAAGCCCCGACCTTGCCGCCTCTCATAGGAAATGGTGAGATACACCTAACAGGAGTAGTAACACTTTCTGCCCTTAAATTCATTGCTTGCTTGCTCAGTCTTGCTGTGAGAATGGTTCATAAATTGATCACTTTCTATTCATCCCCTCATTACAATTCCTACTGACTACCCTGAGAGAAGTCTGATAGGCCCATATTTTACAGAACAGGGGCAGCAAGACAAGGAAGCCATGCCTCAGGTTTTAAATATTCCATACAGTTAAATATTTGGACCCAAGATCATCATAATCCTGTTTTGTTTTGGGGCAAGGCAGATGAAATAAATACTGGCCAGTTTATTGTATGGAACTCTTTCAGATGAGGCCTTTGCAAGGCACCCTTTGCATAGATGTGTTGGGCTCCCCTTTAAATAAACTGTTCCCACACATGGAAGTAATTGTATGTACAGATACTACTGATACAGAGGGCAGATATGCATAGATGGGAGCAAGGTGAGATGGAACTCTGAAGATCCATAGTTGGTTTTGTACAAGGAGCTCCTCATTGCCAAAATATCTGTACCTCCTAACTCTACATTGCCTCCAGTCTGCCCACAGTTTTCTGTTCACCACCCAGCAGTGACAGCCCAGGTTTTCTAAAGCCTGTTCAATTAAAAGAAGTTAAGAAATATATTCTGTTTACCCAAAAGTTAAACAAAACAAGGAAACCAGCAAAGATGCTTTGCAGTTGTTAGGAGTTACTACAAAAATATTTCAAGAGGTCTTAGAAATTGCATTGAATGGTTTCCAATTCATACATTTTGCCATCCCATGCAAATGCCTTTTCAATTATATTTTGCCTATAAAAAGCTCCTTTATGAATCTGTCCTTCTGGCACATCAGTCAGCACAGTTGCACTGTGCTATACCAGCTGATGACAGTTTGTGGCTACGGCCTATAAATTATGTGCTGGGATCCACACTGAAATGCTAGCCTTGAGTCTGTGAATTAGCTTTTAACCTAAGGACACAGGTTTTATCCCTACTTCATTCAAGACAGAGCACTGCTGTGATTTGCTGTGATGATGCAGACTTTTCCTCTGTACTCCCCTTTACTTGGTGCTTTCTGTTCCAGTTTCTGGGTGATGCATGTTTAACTGTGAATTTTACCTCCAGGTACCCAGTCGAACAGCAGCTGCAGTGTAGGAGGATCCATGACTATTCTGCCGAACAGGAACGAACTTTCGAGTACAGACATCACTGTGTTGAACATGCTGAACAGGAGGGACAGCAATACTAGCACAATCAGTTCAGCCTACCTGAGCAGCCGCAGGTCCTCTGGAATCTCACCTTGCTTCTCCAGCCGGAGGTCCAGCGATGCCTCCCAGGCAGAGGGGAGACCGCACAACGTGAGTGTTGCAGACTCCTATGACCCCATCTCGACGGATGCCTCCCGGCGCTCCAGTGAAGCGAGCCAGTGTGATGACCTGCCAAGTCTTCTCAGCCTCACCCCGGCCCAGCAATACAGGCTGAAAGCTAAATACGCAGCAGCTACTGGTGGACCCCCACCAACTCCACTGCCTAACATGGAGAGGATGAGCCTCAAAACAAGGATGGCACTCTTGGGTGACTGCAGGGAGTCTGGAGTATCTCCACTGCCTTCAGTGAATGCCCCTCGAAGATGTAGTGACGGTGGGGCAAATGGTTACAGCAGGAGGCATTTTCTGTCTCATGATGCTTTAGGAAACGGAACAAGAAGAGCCAGTGATCCAGTGAGAATGGCCTCCGACAGCCTCTCTCTCCCTAGAGTCCAGCGTTTCAACAGTCTTAATAGCTTTAACCCTCCTGCTTTGCCTCCATCCACGGAAAAGCGCAACCTTGTTCTTCAGAACTATACCCGTTCTGAGGGTGGCGTCTTCCGCGGCTTCAGCTCCCCATGTCCTCCGAGCATCAGCGAGAACGTCGCCCTGGAGGCTGCTACAATGGAAGCAGGTGGCAGTCTGAATGATGAGGATCTCCTGCCAGATGATGTGGTTCAGTATCTGAATTCCCAGAACCAGGGCATGTATGACCACTTGTTGAACAATGTCCTAGATGGCAACAAAATGCATCACAGCTCAGTGTTAGGAAACAACAACCCCAGCAACTTCGACCAAGCCCCTCCACCGAGCAGTCAGCAGGCAGGTTCAGAGGCAAACAAAAGCGACTTGCCCATTCAGTGGAATGAAGTAAGCTCAGGGAGTTCTGACTTATCTTCTTCAAAACTGAAATGTGGCCAGCGCTCAGCAGTGCAGCAGTCTCGGGCCTTAAGACTGTATAACAATATGATGGTTCAGCAGCAGAGTCTGGAGAGAAGCAACATGGTCCAGCAGAACGGCTATCAGAACCTGATGGAGAGCACTGGTTCCTATGGTTTACAGCAAAACATGGTTCTTGGCAGCGGAGCTGGCAATTCTTTCAGCATGCAGCCCAATAAGCCTTACAGCGAAAGCATCGGAAGGCAAGCTATGATGGCTGGGGCAATGGACAATTCATGTGGCGTGGCAGTTCAAGGGCAGAAGTTAAGAAGTAGCAACATGCCACTGAGTGGGAACCCACAAAATTTCGGCCATCCCATGGTATCCAGCGATCAAGCCACCAGTATGGCAAATGGGATACAGAACAGGAATATGATGGAACAGGAATATTTGCAAAACCAGCCAGTTGGGGATGGCGTTCATTACCAGGGAGTCGATCAATCCGGTCAAATGATGCTAGGGCAGGTTAGTCCTACCTCACAAAGCAGCCTGTACCAAGGGCCACAGGGTTGTCCACCAGTGTCTCACACCACTGGTAACCAGCCTTCAGGTTTGTTGGTGTCCAAAAGTTACCAGCCATGTGCTAACTACAGCGGCAACAGACGGCAGAACATGCTGAGAAGCAACCTGGCACAACAGCAAGGACACATAAGTGATGGCAACCAGGCGTACAGGGTAAACACCATTAAGATGGAGATGCAAGGTCAATCACAGGAGTTCTGCTCTAACATACAGAATTACTCTGGTCAGTTATATGACCAAACCATGGGCTTTAGCCACCAAGCTATGAAAACAGGTTCTTTCTTTGGTTCGGAAGCTAACTGCCTGCTGCAGGGGACTGCAACTGCAAACTCATCTGAGCTTCTTTCCCCGGGGGCTAACCAAGTGTCGAGCACAGTTGACAGCATTGACAGCACCAGTCTAGAGGGCGTGCAGATTGATTTCGATGCCATCATAGATGATGGGGACCACGTCAGCTTAATTTCAGGAGCCCTAAGCCCGAGTATCATTCAGAATCTCTCCCGCAATTCCTCACGCCTCACCACTCCCCGAGCGTCTCTTACATTCCCAGCTATGCCTGTAAGCACAACCAACATGGCTATTGGGGACATGAGCTCTTTGTTGACCTCACTTGCAGAAGAAAGCAAGTTTCTTGCTGTTATGCAATAGACATAAAGAACAAAACAAAACAAAAAGAACCCTTAGGAAATAACAGATGAAAAAGACTCATATTTTTTAGTTGTGTATGTATTTTAGCAATCTCATCTCACCTAAATGGGATGTGTTTCAAGTATATTCCTTTTATGGAATAAGGACTCTGAAAACCCTAAAGTGTTCTAGGGAGAAACTGTCTTCCATTTCAGTTTTGAATCAGTATTGCTACACCCATTCCTCCCTCCCCTTTTCTCTCTCTCTCCCCTCCTCCCCCTTTTGAATGTCTGTATGCTTCCTTTTGCCTTTTTTTAATTGTAAACCAATGTAAACGTGTGAAGTGCATGTTTTTGTTTTGTTTGGGGATTTTTTTATTTTAAGAAAGGTCTGATGAAATAACTTCGCAATTTTTCTGTCACTCAGAAGAAACTAAGCCTTGTACAACTTGTTGCAACTTTTCCCCCTAAACATATAGGCACAAAATAACCGGGCACAATGTGAAGTGAGCCTACAGTGATGAAATCCTCTCTGGATGCACTGGATAGATCGCACTGAGGTGGACAACCCTTCAGAAATGCACTGACATGGTACCCCTAGGCGGTAGTTTCAGAGTCACGGAGCACAAGAAATGAGGAGGTTCAAGCAAATAGGAAATGTAAAACCATCATCCCTTTGATCCCCAGCAAACATTTAATGTTTTTGTAAACAAACAGATAGCTGTCACTGCCCTGCATCATGATACTGAGACTGTGTCTTGTTTAATCCATTTCAGAGGGAGGAGAGGACCAGAAAGCTATTCTTAGTCCAGATCTCATCTTCTGCACTATTTGGTATTCTGTTTTTCAGTCTTCTTTTTCAAATGATTGGATAGTAAAATTAATGGGCATGATTTGGGTAGTCTAGAATCCCCTACTTCCATACCACATTTCTGGAGATATGATCAGGGCCTTACGGAGTATTTCATACAATGAAATAACAAAATTGCAGTATTCCATACTGGCCATTTTAAATTTAATGCAAATTGTTGAGGTAGTTTGCTGAGCCACTGCTTTTTATTCACAGTAGCAGTTCCTTTGCCAGCAGAACTGTCCTGTACATCCCTTTGAGCACATACAGCTTCATGGATGGATGTTTTAAACTAAGTAAATGCCCACTGATGTAACACAGCTACATGGTCATGGCATGTAAAGCAAGTAAGTAGAAAATGAATGGCCCAGTTCTCAAACTAACCAAATAAATCAAAGTGGTGGCAAGCAAACTGATAATCTTAAATGGTTTTCCTCTGTATCCAGGGTATACAAAATCAGGAAATTTAAACTGCATTAAAAATAGCAAAGAAAGAAGCGGAAGGTAATTTCTATAGACTAGGAGCCAACAGCATTCATTCTTTTGACTGGAAAAAAAGCTGAAATACCAACTGATTCAGGGCATGGCATTTGAGGAAATGTGTAGGAATACAACCTCAGTGAAGCTGTCAGATAACATTGATCTATTAACAGCTCCTAGAGGAAGAAGCTGTAAATCAGTAGGAAAACATCATAGGAATCTGGTGCTGGAGCCGTATTTGTGCTTAACCCAGCACGTACCAAGTGATTTGCACTGTGAGCTGGAATGTCAAAAAGCAAGACAAATGTAAATATCCTACAGCTTATATGATCACCCAGCTCCTGTCTTTCTCCATATCTTTAGCAGGCATTTCTTCCTTCCTCTGTCTCACGCACGCGTATTCCTCCATCCTGCTCTTTGCCTTTTACCAGTTTCCCTCCTGACCTCCCTTCCCATGTCCAGCTTTCACAGCCCTCCTGCAGTGGTCCCTGGGCTGCACAGGGAGCTAGGCATAGCTCACATGGGAAACAGTTGGTTTGGAACGTGTGCTCTCCTTGCACAAAGGCAGCCCTGTAGAAACCTGCTGCTTGTATCAGCCCTTGCCCCTTGTCCTGTCATGAAAGGATGCCACCAGCCAGGCAGGTGAGTGGGGTTGGAGGGATGCTTCTATGGCCATGCTGTACATTGCAGTGCCATCATAACAGCTCACAGCCATGTGAAGAAACAGCAGCCTATGCATGAGGGAAGGCTGTGCTGGATGTCTTGCAGATGGTTCTCGGTAACCATTTGCTGGCTCTTTATTAAGCCATCAATTACATGTTTATAAACAGTTTCATCAGGGAGACTTACGACCAGCTTGGGAGTAGGTGACTTGGGAGAGAAGCCTTTTATTGTCATAAAGCCCAATACATTAAAAAAAAAAAAACCAACAAAAAAACAAAACAACCCTCAAACTATTATTTAAAACTCAATTTCCAGTCCGTAATTGTATTTGCTGGTCCAATTGAAGCTGGGAGGCTATTGACAGATGTGATCCATCAGGGCTTAGAAGTAGCCGTTCATATTGCTCAAGGCTAAAAGGGACTGTTTGAGTCATTAATTTGCCTTCCTGGATTTGGCAAACCTTTGTCACTCACCCCTGTCTTGGGCCAATAGTGTGTCTTGGCCAAAACCACACTCTCCAGAAAGGCATCCCACTTTGATTTGCAAAGGTTGAAGAACCAGAGACTCCACCGTGTCCCCAGGGAGTTTGTGCAAATGGTTGAGCGTTTTCTGTCATTAAGTGTATGTGCCACTTAGGTTCATGTGTCATTTTCCTGCTTTTAGTGTCTCCTCATGCTTTACACAGAATGGTCTGGGTTGGAAGGGACCTTAAAGCTCATCCCATTCTAACCCCTTGCCATGGGCAGGGACACCTTCCACTAGACCAGATTGCTCAAAGCCCCGTCCAACTTGGCCTTAGGCTTCCTGTTTTGGTACCTGTGAGGGTAGCAATACCTCATAGCCCAGCAGTCTTCAGTTTGGGTTTTGATTTCATAGGGTAGACTGGGCTCTCTGAGCATGGCACTGTTAGGCTGGGCACCACCTTTCACTTGTCAACCTCCTTCTCAATATGTGGCAGTTTGGGGAATATCCCACCATCATTGCTCACATGTTTACTGGCACCCCTCTACTCCTCTATTTGTTACAGAGCCAAAGCTTGCTTTTGTGTATTTATCTGATCTGTTGCATCAGTTGCCATTGCCATAGCAGCTGGAAACCCACCACTCATGCAAAGGAAAAGCAAAAAATAGTGTGAATTTCCTATTTTTAAAGCACTGCAGCCTGTGTCTATATCGCCTTTTCTTCTAATGGCTCTGTGGGGGTCTTCCAGATTGGTTACCATTGTCCTTGGGCGCATCTGCCCCACTGGGCCTGCATCAGGCACCCCTATTTCTCCAGGCAGTTTTACTTTCCATGAAGTGGGATCACCAATGGGACTTCATCCATCAGGTACACCTGGGTACAGGAAAGGGCTTCCCAAGGGGCTTTGCTGGTGAGTGCTGGCCCTGCACATCCCCATGGCAGATGATGTTACTCCCTCCTTGGAGATCAGCCCTACATGGTACGTGCATTATGGTGCTGGCTGGGTCCTCGCTTCCCCTCACTGCTCCTCCAGCCCTTGATGAAGTGGCTGGTCAGCTCTCCCATGCCTGCCGAGCAATGGCTCATCCTTCCCAACAGCAGTGTTCCTGTTCTTGCAATGTATGTGCCTTATTTTGTGTTGCTCCTGTACAAAGAGAGGGACCAAGATGTGTTGCCAAATGTTCCCAGTGAGGCTGTACTTACCATTCAGCTGATTGATAGCACATACCACTGTTAATAGTGTCCGAAACGTCTTTTAAACCTCTGGTATTCACGTGTTAGTGTCCTTGGATTGGTGGAATGTCTCCTATGGAACAGTTACTGTTGTCAGTCCTGCAGATGTGTAAGATAAAAATGTGTTCTTTTTTTTTTTTCCCCAATTTTTTATTTTTTTTTAATAAAACTTGTAATCCTTTTCTAAAAAAAAAAAAAAGGCAAAAAAAAAAAAGCCAATGTGTACATACATTTACGTACAGTAGGAATAGTGTTCGGCTGTAACAGGCCTTAGTGGTCTTCATTTGATAAACCTGCAGTTACGATCTGATGTTTCTCGAGCCTTAGGTTGATCGGAAGGGTCTGTAGCACTGTGTACATACGAACTGTACTTCTGCTTTCAGAACCACTTAGCTCTTTTGTAACAAAGAAAAAAACAAACTTTCTTACAATGTCAATAAAAACACAAAAGCCTTTGTACTTAAGTTCTTAGCTTTCAGCTTTTAAAATAGCTCCTCCGGGGAGGGAGTTCCTTCTTAATTCAGCTGCAGAGCCTGCTTGCAATCAGCACGTGTAGCGCTTCCACTCGTGGTCTCTTGCTTTCCTGTTTCTGCTTCCCAGAATGTTGCTTCACTTCATTCACATTGTAAAAGCCATGGGGAAGGAAAACAGGGTGGAGAGCTGGGGCTGCCTCAGGACAGATGTCAAGAGGGCAGGAGATGCTGTGGGGATCCCTGCCCTGTTTGTCACCATGGTTGGTTGCAGTGTCAAGGGTGTAGATGAAGATGCAACACACACCACAAGAAACCTGGGGTGAGGCTTTTGACAAGGGCCTGTAGTGACAGGACAAGGGGAATGGCTTTAACCTGACAGAGGGGAGATTGAGATGAGACACTGGGGGAAAATTCTTCACCATGAGGGTGGTTGAGGGCCTGGCCCACGGTGTCCAGAGAAGCTGTGGCTGCCCCATCCCTGGCAGTGTTCAAGGCCAGGTTGGACAAAGGGGCTTGGAGCAACCTGCTCTAGTGGAAGGTGTCCCTGCCTGTGGCAGGGGGTTGGAACTGGGTGAGTTTTAAGGTCCCTTCCAACCCAAACCATTCCATGATTCTATACTGCTAAGACACCAGAGTAACAGCATCAGCAGAGGTGAACCCTGCCAGGGGAAGGGCTGGGACTGCAGGGCATTTATCTGGTCCTCCAGCCTGACTTGGGATTGGGCCAGTGAAGAGCTGCATGTGGAAAGCTGCAGCGGGGGGGCAGGAGGACCTGTTTCCATGTGGTGAAACTCAAAATAATGCCAAGTCCTCGGGAAAACAAAAAATAGCAGGGCAGTCATGGTTTGTATCATCCAAAATTAGCGGATGCTGTTGACCTTTAGTCTGTGCTTCAGTGCCAAGAATGCCAATTAATTAATTGAATTCATTAAACTGGTTTCTTGCTTCAGAAGAGCATGTACATGAGGGAACTGCAGTTTGCAAAGCCTGAGGAAAACACAACAGAGATAGATGCACAGCAGTGATCACAGAAGCAGGAAAAAACCCACCCCACAGCCCTCCACCACCTTAAATAGGTAACGGGACATCACTGCATCCAAACACAAGGGGCAACACCAAAGTCACCAGTGCTGCTGCGGCCAGACATGCTGGGGTCAGGGCTGAAGCAGGGAAGAGGAGGCAGTGTGGGCCCAAGGTGCTGATGGAGTCACTGGGCTGATGTATGGGTGTAAGCAATGGCAC